GGGGGGGGGGGGGGGTTGTGCGTGCGGAGTGAGGGGCAGGGCAAGCAGATGCTTGCGTGAGTGGGGACGGGGGCCTGAAAACAGTGGTGCTGCTGGAATCGTTTGCGAAACCTGTCGCAGTGAACGAGAGGTTGCATAGTTGGTCCAGTCAGTGCGCGTGGTTCGGGTACAGTCGGCCTCGGAATGCGGCAGCGGTGATGTGGTCCTGGTCCGTGGAGGTGTTGACGTTTCAAAACAGCAGAACGACAGCTGTCCACCAACCTCTGCGCACCAACCTGCTGAGTGAGCGCCGCCAGCAGCCGCAGCAGTGGCGCCAGCCACAGCAGCTTTGCCCTCTCCCGGGGGTCGTTGCTGGCAGCGATGGGCAGCACCTGGCGGGCGGGGTGCAGTGAGTCGCCGCCTTGGAACTGACAGCGGTCAATTCAGTTGGGCCTGGATGGGTGCTGCGGCGTGGCCCACAGCTGGTCAAACTAGGGCATGGCCAGCCAAGGCAAGGCAAGGCCAGGCAAAGACAAGGCTCCACAGCGCACGTACAGCAGCCCGGTATCCTCTGCCCTACGCTCCAGTTGCAAGGCGCCAAAGCCCCCCACCTTCAGGGCGCACAACGCAGACGGCCCGTCCAGGTTAAACCACAGCGCGGGCGTCAGCTTGGAATCCCCCGTGTCGAGCGCGCCCGGCGCGAACAGCGCCGCCGCGTCGGCGTCGCCAGCAGCGCCGTCGACCGCGTCCTCGCGCTTATCGGCCAGGAAGCCGCCGCCCTCATAGAGGAGGTCCTGAAGCATTCAAAACATGAAAGGAACCAGGGCAGCAATCGACAGCCGCGGCAGACGATGCTTGAGACATGATGCTAAGCGTGCTGACAGGCCGGCGTCCAGCCTCCGGCGGATCGCGGCCCCACCCATAGAAACGCCTGCAAGCCGCAGCTTCGCAAGGAGTCGCACCTGGACCCTGCCGGACAGCCACGAAGCGAGCGGCTGCGGCAGCGGTGCGGAGGCCTCCGGCGCCAGCTGCTGCGGGGCGGCTGCTGTCGCGCCCGCACCCACGGCAGCGCTGGGGCCGGCGGCCTCGAGCTGGGGGATGCCGGCCGCCACCGCGTCTGTGAGGCGGTCGAGCAGGAACGCCATGCACGCGGGCGCAGGCTGGCACTGGCGCAGCAGGGATTCGGCGCGGTTCGTCCACGCCTCCTGCAGGGCGTCTGTAGGTAACGAGTTCCCCAGACAGCAGCGCGGCGCGGCGTATGACCTCAGCCTGGGTTGCATGCAGGCCTCGTTGATCAGAGGGTTGGGTCTGCCAGCAAGCCTGCACTTGGCACGCCCCTGCGTGCGGCTGCGCAAGCCACCAAAGCCCATGGGCGCATGTGGCCCCAGGGGCTGTTGGCTTGACAGCCCGCGACCGGGACGGCCCCCTCACCTGGTTCCCCGGGGCCGCAGCCCTCCACCGCCGCCGCGTACGCCGCCGCCTCGCGCCGCAGCATAGCCAGGCCGCCCACAATCCCGATACGCTTATAGACGGGGCTGCGGCTCAGCAGGCAAGGCGCCATCAGGATCAGATAATGAGCCCACCCACTGGCACGGCAGCTAACAATGGACTGCTGGGCAGCTTCTGCCCTCGCCAAGGGCCTCTTTCAAACCTCCAACCAGCAACTCGCGGGGCCACCCATCTGCCGCCGTGGCTCTCTTGGCGTCCTGTTGACAGCATCCCCACTCTCACGGCCGCCAGCACCCATCCGCCCCATGCTTTTACTCCCACCTGGTGTGTGCCAGTGCCTTGGTCAGCGTGATGTGGAGCTCGTCCTCAAAGCGCCCGCCCTGGCAGAAACCTGCGCTACCAGACGACCCCGACGCGCCGCCGGCTGCGGCAGGTATGGAGCGGAGCAGGGCGCGTTGGTTCACGCGCAGCCTTTGGGAGCGGTAGTGTCAGGTCAGGAGGCCCCGCGTGGCTCGACTTGCCCCTGATTGCAGCTGAGGAAACCTAGGAGCTTGCAAAAGCGGGGACTGGCTCGGCACTGAAGAGGGGCCAAGATGCAATGAGAGGCGGTCGGCGCCTGCTTGTCACCTGACGGCGCGGTGAGCGCCGCAAACATCTCAAACACCTGCCGCAGCTGCGTGTCGCTGAAGCATTCCAAGTGGTCCAGGATGGACGCCAGGAACGCGCCAAAGCGCGCCAGCAGCTCCGTGTGGCGGTGCGCCAGCAGCAGCAGGGCCTACCGGGGGAGCAGCAGATTGACGCCAAGCGCGCAGGACGTGAGCAGCCCGGGCACGCATGCGGACGCGGGCTACCGCTGGGGGCCTGGTGCGCGTGCAGACGGTGATCAGCTGGCGCCCGCGCGGAGGACACCCGCTGCTTTCTTTTATCTTTCTTGCTTGGTCCCACCTCAAGCGCCACATCCTCTTCCTGCTGCTGCCCGGAGCCCAGGTGACCGTGCAGCGCCTGGGGGAGCATTGATGCGGGGACTAAGCCGAGGTGCAGGCCGCAGCATGAGGGTGGCCGCCTGCAGCCTGCCGCCTGCGAGCATGCCAGATCCAGGAGGCGTGGCAACCCTAGTCCCCTGCGGCTGTAAGGGTGGCAGCTGCAAAGCCAGTCGCATGCTCTCGCGACAACCCGAGTCGCCTGCGATCCCGCACCTGCAGCACCTCCTGCCGATGGGGCGTGCTGTCCACCCTGACAAACAGACACCGGTACAGCTGCCCGGCAGCTACCCGTAGCTGCGGCTCCTTTGCGCGCGACCAGGCGGCCGCGAGCCCCAAAAACGGCTGCCACAGGTCCTGAACGACCGCCTGGGATGAGGGTTTTACGTTGGCAACCCTTGCAAGAGGCATGCTGCAGGGCACCACGCAGCAGCGAAGCCGCATATGAAAGGGTGCTGCTGCGTGGACGCTCCGGCAAACAATGCCAATCGCATGTCCATCCAACGGCCGGTCAGCCCGTCATCCGAGCCAGCCCAGCCCGTTAAAGAGGAGAGAGACTGCTGGCCCCTTTTCCTTTTAACCCCTGCTGTGCCCACCCAAAAGCCCTCACCTGGTGGTCCCAGACCGCGCCCTCCAGCCACCTCGCCCCCGCCTGGCCCTCCAGCACCTTCCGCCTGAGCAGCGCCTCCGCCGCGCGCGCGTGCTGCGGCGCCGACGCGCCGTGCTGCCAGATCAGCAGTAGTGCCCATAGGTCAACGGCCCTGTGCTGCCGTGGCTCTGCAGGATGCGCGATGTACGAGCAGTCGGCGCGGCGCGTCAGCAGTGTCAGCATGATCGCTTGGCTGCCTTCGTCCAAAGCACCCCTGTGAGGGCGCCGCCCGCCCCCCCCCCTGCGGGCGTTCACCTGACAGGGCCCCGACCGCCTTGAGCAGGCCGCCGCGCGCCGGGTCGCTCGCCTGCAGCGCGGCGCCGAGCTCCCGCAGCACGCGCGCCTCAGCCAGCACCTTGCTACGCCCGCCGGCCGGCCCTTTCTGCTTGCTGTCGGGGACGGCCAGCCGCGGGTCGGTGGGTGAGGCGCAATGCAGGCAGGCGCGGACGCCGGCGGCGACGTCCTGGGCGTTGTGGGGCGTCGTGTTGGCGAGGAGGAACCTGCGACGCGAGCGGCGGACGCCTCACACGTGCTCAATCATCAACATGCTTTGCATCGTGCTTGAGTTGAACCTGTCACGCATCCAGAGCAATGTGGGCGTACTCAGAAGGATGACGGTCTGCTGACGTGAGACGAATTCCACGTCATGTGCTGGCCTCTCGACGAGTCAAGTCACGTGCCAGCTGGCAAGGACACCCACCTGACCAGTGCAGGAAGGTCGTCCACATCCACAGCCTGCAGCTGCTGGCCCAGGCTCTCCACCGCGTGGGCCTGGCGCAATGCAAAAAGCCAGCATCGCACATCGAAACGGTGCCAGGGGACGGCCGGGAGGATACAACCAGCCGCTGAGCCATTCGCCGCCTGCTGGGCAGTAGATTTTGGCGGGTCAATGTGTGGTGCGCCTGCAACACCGTCTCCCCACCCCCTAGACCGTCTTATCCCCCACCTGCAGGCCTGGCTCCAGCTGCATGTCCCCGACAGCATCCAGCACGCACGCCACAAACCCTGTGTCCTGCTCCAGCAGCCTGGTATCATCCGTGGGAAAACAGGCACGTGCAAGTAGAATAGCAGCATCAAAAGCAACATGCAGCATCCATGAGCACATCAATGCACGGCAGTGTGGCCGAGCTGCAGCCACCTGTCCCAGCCAATAGATGAGGGGATGCACCCACCCCAGCAGCGCCTCCACCACGCGCTCGTGCTCCTCCGGGGAGGCGACCTCCGGTAAGAACCCCACAAGCTGCTGCTGCACCTGAGGGGGTGCGTGTGAGCGGCGTGCGCGTGCGGCAGCGCGTTGGCTCCGTGTCAGGTGGCGCGCTGTCGCTCGCGCCAGTTGCGCCCGCTGTCGAGGCCAGCGCCACCCCCAACGATGCACAGGCGTCACTGTGCGCGCCCCATCAATCTCAGCGTGCGGCCCGGCCTCACCCCCCCCCCCCAAAATCGTCAACACGCGACATCGCGTGAGCACGCGCGCGCACCTGCGGCGGGCAGACAGGCAGGACCTGCAAGACCTTGTCAGTGAGGCCCCCAGCGTCCACCACCGCCTCCAGCCTGCAAAAGCGACCAGCAGGCACGTCCGCCAACCAGGCGTGTTTTTGAACAGCTGCAGCATCTGGTATCAGCAGCACTGCTGCGGCATCCGCAAGGGGCTTCCAGGGTGCATGATATCAGGCTGTCCCATCAGGGGGCGACATGAATGGCCATGTTGGCCCAGCCAGCCAGCTCACCAGCGCAGCTGTCCCAAGATGAGGCTGGGGATGGACGTCCCATCGTGCGGCCCCGCGGCCCCGTCCAGCGCCCCGCCGCCATCCGCCGAGTCGCCACAGAACTCCGGCAGCTTCTCAAGCAGCAGCGACGCGACGCGCGACTGCACGCGCTGCATGTTAAGCGTCATCCGCAGCAGGCTGTCGCCATTGGCGTAGTTGATCTGTGGCGAGGGGGCGCAGCGAGGTGGCGTGATGGCAGGAGCAAGGCCCGCCGCTGGGAGCAAGGCTCATGTTGTTGCTATACCAACGAGTGGTACGGCCACTGGCGTGTCTCAGGACTCTCAGCACTTCCCCAACGGCAGCGGCCCAGCAGCCCGGCCATGTGCTCGCCTGCGACGTGACCACCATGGGCAACAGCGCCCGCCGCAGCGTGCCCTCGTCCGCCACGACCTCCGCCAGCCCTGCGACGAACGCGTCCTGAGCCCGCTGCGACGCCAGCGCCCCCTCCAGCTTCCGCCGCAGGTTGCGGGGGTCCTCGACGCGCAGGCCCTCGCTGGGCCCGGGAGGCGTCAAGGTCGCGCTGCCCGCGCTGCCGTGCGGCGTTCCCAAGCGCGCCGGTTGCAGGCCGGTGCAGCCATGGCGTTCGAGCTGTGTCGGAATCGCAATGAAACGGTCGGCGGCGGCTAAGACTGCATGTGCCAGCATCGTGCACGCGGCTCACATGAGAGCGTGGCACAGGCCGCCTGGGCAAGTCGCGCAGCATGTGCAGCATGACCAGCGGCAGCCGTGTTGCTGGGAGCGCACCAGCGTTATCAGGTCATTCAAGGGGCTCGAAACGCGTTGGCGTTTGGCCGAGGGGCCCTGAGGCGGCAGGTTGGAGGCATCGCCGAATGGCCGCGCCAGATCGTCCTCCTCCATTGAGTCATGGCCGAATAACATCGTGACAGAGCGGAGTACTGCGTTACGGTGTCATGGAAGGAGCAGGTGGCTGGCTGTGAGGAGGTCTACTTTCAAAATGAATTCCGTGTACACGACCTTGGTCCGTGGATTTGGCATGTGCCAGCCTTCATAACATTTGCGTCCAGCGATCCTCTTCTGGACGACCTGCAGATATGCCTGCTTGCGACTGATGTGGTGTCACTCGGTGCCGCTATCTGGCTCCAGTGCCCATGCTTGCAAAGGTGTCTGTGTCGCGCCTGCAGCGTAGTTTGACGAACCCATGCGATGAACATATACAGTGAGTTGTCAAGTCATGCTGATGTTTGCGGTCTGTGCGGTAAAGAAGGCGTACCCCACTTGAAGTGTTGAAGAGGAATGTAACCCTTACTTGTACTGGTACTGTGCCCATGTACAGGTGGTGGACTATGATAAAGGATTATGCTGGTGGCAAGTTTTGCACTGACAGGGTACGCACAGCGGCCTGATGACATCCCCCCCCCCTGCCAGAGCAACAGTGCAATGCCATAGCATGCAGGTGTTGCACGGACAATTGCATACCGTGTACTGGTCTCCGGCCAGTGCCGGAGGCTAAACAGCTTTCTGAATGGATTTGGTCGTGTTTATCACCTTGTGGAGCAAGCCAGCCATGCACGTACTGTAATGGTGTGCTGTGCGCGATGGGCATGCTGCTGGGATCGCTGTGCTGAGCTGCTTCCCGTGCGGGTGGACGTTGCTGGGCCCAATGCGGTGACGCGTGGATCAACGCACTACATTGACGATGTAATATCCTGCCTTCAAGTGGATTATAGCCCTTGCTGTGTGTGAATTCCACTCACTTGCCACAGCCGGAGAGGCCCGCGCCCGCGGCCTGAGCATCAACCATGCAGAACATGCTGCGTAGGTGCCGTGTGCCATGCGCACAGGTGCGGACCTCGTGTTTGGCTGCTGCGATGTCGCGTAGATCGATCGCCAAGCCTCCGCGACGCTTCTATTTCGCAGGCCCAGCAGGCGCAGAACATGGTCGGTGTAAGATGCGGCCAATTGGTGGCGCACTCACGCAGCACCAGCTTTGCGGCGCACCAGCGGCGGCACTCGCAGCAGCGCGAGCAGCAGCACGAGCAGCAGCGGCACTGGGCGGCCACCATCGCGCCCTCGCGGCGGCGAACCACAGTCCGCGCGGCGGCTGTGGACCAGGTGGGCTGCGTTCTCTCCTTTCGCATGCGTCAGCCTTACCCTTGCGAGTCGTCGATTGGTGCATTGATAATCCATCCATTTGCAGTGGCAGTCCGCCTGCACACCCTGGCTGCAAACCGTGGCCCGCCCCGCAGGCGGCGCCCCCAGCCCTCGGGGACCAAGTCTTGTCCCAGCTGCGCCGCATCATCGACCCTGATTTTGGGGAGGACATCGTGGCCTGCGGCTTTGTGAAGGACATGGCGATCGACGCAGATTCTGGGGCAGTGGCGTTCAAGCTCGAGCTCACCACGCCGGCCTGCCCTGTCAAGGACCAGTTCAAGCGGGAGGCGACGCAGTACGTTCAGGTGAGGCGGCCGCGGCGGCAAATCAGGCTGCGGAGCAAGAAAGCGGCCGCAGCTAGGCCAGGTTCGGCTGACGGTGGCAGTCGGCAGCCTGGGGCAGCGACGCGAGGTGGCATGAGTTTAGCTGCTCAATTTTTAATTGAGCATCTTGTGTCTCATGCTCCGAGGCAAATTTGGCAAGCAATGAGCGCTGATTGCGGCTGGGCTGCGGCCGCACACTCGCCCCTGCAACAGGAGCTGCCTTGGGTGACGTCGGTCGATGTCACCATCACCAGCCAGCCCAACAAGCCGCTGCTCGCCGCCGACACCGGCCGCCCCGGCGGCCTGCGGGACGTGCGCCACATCATCGCCGTCTCCAGCTGCAAGGGCGGCGTGGGCAAGAGCACCACTAGCGTCAACCTCGCCTACACGCTCGCGCAGATGGGCGCCAAGGCGAGCGGGGGTCGAGGGCGGCTGCGATGGGAAGCGGCCGCACCCACCTGGATGTGCACAGCTAATTGATCACACGAGCCTGGCCGACACGCGTGGGTACACATTACGCTCAGCATCACTTTGAGGTTGACAGCCGCGCGCCCTTGAACGTCCCGCCTGCCTTTCAGCCCTGGGTCGGGCGCCGGCCAGCTGACAGATCCCGCGCCGCGCGCCGCATGCGCAACTGCAGGTGGGCATATTTGACGCCGATGTGTACGGCCCCAGCCTGCCGACGATGGTGTCTCCCGAGCTCCGAATCCTGCGGATGGACCCCGAGACGCGCGCCATCACGCCCACTGACTACGAGGGCGTCAAGCTGGTCAGCTTCGGGTTCGCGGGGCAGGGCAGCGCCATCATGCGCGGCGCCATGGTGTCGGGGCTCATCACACAGATGCTGACCACTAGCGAGTGGGGTGAGCCGCACACGGGTCGCGCGGGGGTTTGCACCCTGTGGGGTTTGCACGAGCCGGAGGCGACGGCGGGCCTGCGGCTCCTGTGGGGTTCATTGGTGTACCTGGAATTGAGGCACCGCAGCTTATCGTCCAGCCCGTGCTGGTGTTATGTTATGGGGTCTGTGTTTTAAGGCTCGAGGCCGCTCACCGCTGCCTTACAAATGTTGACCGCAGGTGACCTGGACTACCTGATCTTGGACTTCCCGCCGGGAACAGGGGACATCCAGCTCACCCTCTGCCAGACGGTGGCCATCACGGCAGCGGTCATCGTCACCACCCCCCAAAAATTGGCCTTTGTCGACGTGGCCAAGGGTGAGGCGCGCCCCCCCCCACCATGTCCTCCTC